GTGGCAAAAAACAAGCATTTTTCTAGTTTCATGACAATAACTTGTGTGTAAGTGTATGGATCTTTCTGAAATTGTACTACAAGGTTCCATATCACAAAGAGAAAGCTGGAATTGAGTTTGGGGGTAATTGCCCAAAACGTTTAGGAAAAAGGGGCAAAAAAGGGGCCAAAAATAAGCATTTTTCTAGTTTCCAGACAACAACTTGTGTTCAAGTGTATGGATCTCTCTGAAATTGTACTGCAAGGTACCATACCACTAAGGGAAGGCTGGGATTGAATTTGGGGGTAATTGCCTCAAAATTTTAGGAATTAGGGGCCAAAAAGGGGCAAAAAACAAGCATTTTTCTAGTTTCATGACAATAACTTGTGTGCAAGTGTATGGATCTTTATGAAATTGTACTACAAGGTTCCATATCACAAAGAGAAAGCTGGAATTGAGTTTGGGGGTAATTGCCCAAAACGTTTAGGAAAAAGGGGCAAAAAAGGGGCCAAAAATAAGCATTTTTCTAGTTTCCAGACAACAACTTGTGTTCAAGTGTATGGATCTCTCTGAAATTGTACTGCAAGGTACCATACCACTAAGGGAAGGCTGGGATTGATTTTGGGGGTAATTGCCTCAAAATTTTAGGAATTAGGGGCCAAAAAGGGGCAAAAAACAAGCATTTTTCTAGTTTCATGACAATAACTTGTGTGCAAGTGTATGGATCTTTATGAAATTGTACTGCAAGGTTCCATATCACAAAGGGAAAGCTGGGTTTGAGTTTGGGGATAATTATATATAAAAGCAAATAATAATGATATGGTTTGAATAGGTAAATTAAAATTTTTTAAGTTCTTAGACCACATTCATTCTTTGTCAGAAACCTATGCTGTGTCAAATATTTAATCACAATCCAAGTTCAGAGCTGTATCAAGCTTGAATGTTGTGTCCATACTTGCCCAAACGGTTCAGGGTTCGACCTCTGCGGTCATATCAAGCTGCACCCCAGCGGAGCATTTTATTATTGTTCGTTCTTATGTTGTACTGTTACACCACTGTCCCAGGTTAGGGGGAGGGTTTGGATCCCGCTAACATGTTTAACCCCGCCACATTCTGTATGTATGTGCCTGTCCCAAGTCAGGAGCCTGTAATTCAGTGGTTGTCGTTTGTTTATGTGTTACATATTTGTTTTTTGTTCATTTTTTGTACATAAATTAGGCCGTTAGTTTTTCGTTTGAATTGTTTTACATTGTCATTTCGGGACCTTTTATAGCTGACTGTGCGGTATGGGCTTTGCTCATTGTTGAAGGCCGTACGGTGACCTATAGTTGTTAATTTCTGTGTCATTTGGTCTCTTGTGGAGAGTTGTTGTCTCATTGGCAATCATACCACATCTTCTTTTTTATATTTAAGGTTAAGTTTTGGTGGTCAAGTCCATATCTCAGATACTGTAAGCAATAGGTCTAGTATATTCAGTGTATGGAAGGACTGTAAGGTGTACATGACCAACTGGCAGGTGTCATCTGACCTTGACCTCATTTTCATGGTTCAGTGATTATAGTTAAGTTTTTGTGTTTTGGTCTGTTTTTCTTATACTGTATGCAATAGGTCTACTATATTTGGTGTATGGAATGATTGTAAGGTGTACATGTCTAGCTGGCAGGTGTCATCTGACCATGACCTCATTTTCATGGTTCAGTAGTCAAAGTTAAATTTTTGAGTTTTGGTCTTTTTTTCTAATACTAAATGCAATAGGTCAACTATATTTGGTGTATGGAAACATTTTATGATGTACATGTCAGTCCCGCAGGTTTAATTTGACCTTGACCTTATTTTCACGGTTCATTGCTCAGTGTTAAGTTTTTGTGTTTTGTCTGTTTTTCTTAATCTATAAGCAGTAGGTCAACTATATGTGCTGTACATGTCTGCCTGGCATGGTTCATCTGATCTTCACCTCATTTCCATGGTTCATTGGTCAATGTTTAGTTTTCTTGGTTAAGTCTGCTTCTTAGAAACTATAAGCAATACCGGTAGGTCAACTGTATTTAGTAATTTGAATGATTGTAAGGTGTACATATATTTCTTGTCAGGTTTATATGACCTTGAATTCATTTTCTTGGATCATGTTGAGTTTATGTGATAGTTGTAGTAAAGCTTTATATTTAGGACTATCAACATGATATCAATGATTAGTAAAGAAGGCGCAACATTTCAGCGTGTGCACTCTTGTGTATACATTAAACACCACATTTACTGTTTTTACCCTGATTTTATGGATCACTGAACATAGAAATGTCATAATGTGAAATTATAGTACATTCTTAGGTTAAAGGTTTAGGTTAAGGTACATAGCTTACCATGAAGTTGAATTTCATACACATGTTCATTATGTGGTGAATTTTTAAATTCAGTGCCAAACTATGATTTTGAGCCTGATTACATGATTGACTAGACATTGACACATGCTAGTGTTTGCCAGGCATTGTGTCCTGTACTAGGAATTTGTTCTGTACTAAGAACTTTAATAGTTAACTGGCTGAGTATGGAGTTTTTGTGAAAGTTTAATATTAGTGAGATTTTTGCATGACATCCTGTCAACTGCTTGTTGATCATGCTTATACATGTCTTAAAATTAATATCTGACACATTGGTGTTTTGTGAACTTGGAAATAAGTTATTTGATAGAATAATAATGTTTTGAGATTATCAAAATAAAAAATATCCCATTTTTACTACATTGTGTATTAATGATTAAGTATATAAAAAAGAAGATTAAGGATATATGTAACCATATATAAAAATGAGACAGCAACCGAACAACACAAAATTAAGAAAAAAAAACCAATATAATTTTTTGTATTAATGTTATAATTTCCAACATGTCCAAAGAGTTCAACGTATTTTCTAATTGCAATAAAACACAAGTGGAACTCTTTCAGAACTTCTGAAGCTTAAAGAAGTGCTGTTTCTATTGTTGGCTTTCTGTATAATATATTGCAAATTCTTGTGAAAAATGGAATTTTATTGTAATTGCCTAAAGTTTTAACATTGATCTATATATATATAACTGGGGAAAATACCCAAATGTTATAAAGAAGAATACATAAATTGATTGTTATATAATATTAGAATAGGAAGATGTGGTATATTGCTAATTTGACAACTCTCCATCAGAGACCAAAGGATGTAGGAGGTTAGCAACTGATGACACTGGACAACCTTCAACAATCAGTAAAATCCATACCGCATAGCTATTTTTATTGAAAATCATATGTTCTTGCTACATGTATGCAAACAATTTTTTATTATCCATAACTTCGGATTTTATTGGTTCTTTTTCAGAAGGATTGAAATTCATCACTGAGAATAAAAGGAGAAAACACAGAAACAAGACCAAAATAAATTCAAAGACAAAAGTCAGATCAGTTATTATTTTCATCACTCAGCCAATGAATTGAAGTTCTATTAAATATCTAAAGATATTAAAACCACAATAATGACAATGTTCTGTGCTGAATGGCAAAAAAGTGGACTATACATTACGATCACACAATGCTGGATGATAAGAAACTATTTATTTTTTGGGTGGAGGGATATCCTGAAAAAAAAAATAGATTTATGTAAAAAGCTACTAGTATGTTAAGCCTATTAATAGAGTTTTCATTGATTTCAAATGGGAAAAAATTGTGTTTCAAAAAAGTATTCTAGAATTCATAAATAAACATATATTGATACTAACATTATCTGCTTTGTTGTTTAAAAGTTTAGTTTTGAACAGTTATAGAACAATATAATTGCATTAACATTTCCAAGGAAAAAAAAGATATTCAACTAAAAAGATTCATCTTAAAACAATTTACTACCAAACAGAATTCATTGTAACATACACATTTATTTACTGTATATTTATAATTTGAATCATAGGATTTTATTTTGTCCCATGGGATATTAAAAATCCCATGGGATAATTATAGTCCCATGGGATTTTTTTTGTCCCATGGGACAACAAATATCCCATGGGACTACAATTATCCCATGGGACCCAAAAAAATCCTATGGGATTTAACCAAAATCCCATGGGATAATGGTCAATCCCATGGGATTTGCCGTATCCCATGGGATATTGAAAATCCCATGTTTTTCTAAATCAAATTACAAAATAGATATAATAATAACAGCAGAAAAGCAATGAATTTATTGAATCCCATGTAATTCCGCACATTTTGGTTATAAACACGACACTGTAGCTCTAAGGAGAGGCGGCGGCGGATTTGCAAATGAGTGTTTTGCAAATTAAAAGTGTCCAGTGTTTATGAATAAAAAGGAGATGTGGTATGATTGTCAATGAGACAACTATCTATCAAAACAAAGAGACAAAGATGTGAACAATAACATGCGCACGTACGACCTGCAACAATGAAAAAACCGCGAACAGTATAATAACCTATAAAAAGCCCCGGGTTAACAAAACGTGAAAAATTGAATGTCCCTTTGGTCTCTTTCGCCTCTCTTTTAAAACAGAAAAACAACGGCCTGATTAATTTTACAACAATATTACATTGTTTGGTTAGGTAAAGGCACACAAAGAATGAGACGGGGGTAAATATGTTTGAAAGAGCTGAACCCTCACTCTAACCTATGGTGGTGAAACAGCACAACATAATATAAAACTGTAAAAATTAATTCAAAAACTTGACGCTACAGATCGGTACTAGGCACAAAAAAAAAAAACAAATAACTAACAGAAAGAACAAAGAAGGTACCGATCTAAGAGTACTTCAAGTTACTACAAGCTAGTTTAACGCCCATTTTCAACTAAGGAATAAACCATGTTCTTCCAGACTAAGATATCATTCAGTACAACTCCAACGGAAACACTCTCTATCTAAGTCTTACGATGGTACACACAATATATATTCAGTACTCGCTAGGAAAGTAAAAAATAGAAAGATATCGGCAATATAGTATACACATATATATATATATATATATATTACATTACTATAATACTTCCATTGCAGTGGAGAGTGTTCAGGATTTGGTATTCCTTGTTTAATGGATTCACAGTGTTGCAGTGAAAATTGTGAAAACACACATCGTGAATTTTTCTACTGTATGTCACCTAAGGAATGACTTTTCTTAAACAGACTTTGATTTATTTCCAAGTTCAATATATATTGTTTGTTTATAATTTGTATTAAGAAATTGTATGCATGTATGTATATCCCGGGAAGTTTTAAAGTACTAGTACAAAAGGCAGATAACAAAAAAAAAAAAAAACAGTATCACCCCAATATGCATTCATGAACAATTTCATCTTGTTTTTTTTCTAAAATTGATGAGATATACTTGATGTTTCATTAGAAAAACCATTGACAACAATTTTGTTGAATAAGACATGAATCTGTGTTTAATTGTCAGGGTAGCTTGTGGTCAGTCCAAATGCAAAAAACTATATAAACAGTTAAATATATTATTAAGTACTATCATAACGGGTCTAAAAGGCACAAATAAGGACTATGGACTATGTCCATGGTTCTTAGTGATTTTATTCACGTTGCATGCAATAATAATACACATTACATAGACAGCACGTAACAAAATAAAACACAACTATAGGCTATAAATCAGTTATCATCCCTAACTATATTTCTAAATCTAATATTCAAATGAAAACCCAAAGTCTCATTATGAAGTGTTATAGAGTAAAATAAATTTTATTGTTCCATCATATTTATAAAAATGCAATATTATGCGATGTCAGCAAAATTAAATATAAACACTCTAGAGTTAAAAATTTGTCAAGACATATTCCTTAACATACACGTGGTAAATAGGTCATGCTTGGAACCATCTGTAGTTACAATGAAAGGTACCAGTATACTGCCTACTGGAAATAAACTCATCATAGATACAAGAATTGAAATTTTGTACGCCAAACGCGCAATTTTCATAACCCGAATAAAATAAATATTACATCACTCTTACATAAATTAAAACATAATACACTCAATAAAATATCTACCAGTTTCTAATATTTTTCTTGCTATGTCTGCATCTCGTCCTGCTGATCTTTGGAAGCGCTTCCAACGGTGCTCTAATCATCAGAATAATCTCCAATGGCACCAGTGGCAGTAGAGTGAGTATCTCCACATAATTCTGTGTTCTCTATCATTAACCTATACCGGAGCGTCCTTATCGTGTAAAACAGGGTCTGTCTGGTAGTGTGGAATACCATAATCTACTCCAACAAGAACTTCTCACTACTCAACACCACTCTCATAATCAGATGGCTCTGGTAAAGGCTGTTCTATACCTTGTCTTAATATGGGAGGGGTGGTGCTGGTCTGGGTGGTGATTCTGGCTTTCCCTGAGTGACTTGAACAAAAGACAAAAGTAGATTCCTATGAAGTGTATGACTTCGGCCATCTCCGACCACCTTCTGTACAAGGTAAACTGGCACATCACTGACGGGTTGGTCCATGATGACAAACACATCGTCTTACCAACGGTAAGCTATATTGTGTTTTCATTCATGTGCTTCTACCTTCATCGGTCGGTCTCCGATCTCTAAAGCATCTCCTCTAGCGTTTACGTCATATCCTATCTCCTGATTCTCTCTAGCCCTGTCTGCAGTTTTATTGCTTTATCACATAAGCTTTAATAAGTCGTTCCGTTAGTTCTTGAATTGATTGGACAAGGCTGTTTGATTGTGCCTTTAGTTAGTCCAAAAGCTATATCTATAGACAAGTTAGGATTCTACCAAACATAAGAAAATAAGGCGAATGAATGGTGGCTTCATGGCGGGTACCGTTGTAAGCATGTACAAGTGGAGCAACAAGAGTCGAACAGTGTATCTTCTTGTGTGGATGTAAGGTTCCCGACATGCCAAGTCCTGTTGAACATCTCAGTCATGCCATTTTCCATGGGATGATAAGGTGTTGTCCTCGATTTCTGTCATCCATGAAGCTGACAAGAGTTTGTTTATCACTTTGCTCTCGAGTCTGAGTGTAACCTCTGTGGGATTCCGTTATGCATTATAAAGTTGTTAAACAATGCTACTGTTGGTAAATCTTGAGCATAGCGTGTGAAGTGGTCAGTTTTTACAAGGATAAGTCTAGAAGTCAAAACATACCAAATACAAAGGCTTTGATGATGAAAGGTGGATCAATGGAGTTCTTGGGTCTTTTTCTCTGTATAGACATTTGTCGCAGTAGTTGATCAATTCATCAATATCCTTGGCCATAACTGGCCAGTAAAATCTGTTGCAAACTAAACTGTGTGTCCAATCTCTCCCTGGATGGGATGGTCCATTTCATTATGCAATGATATCAATACTTAAGGTACATGTACATGTGTAGATGGCATATTAACTGCCGAAAAATCCTTCCATCAAGAGTAAACTCACTGTATAGTATGTAATTCAGCTGGTCAAAATCTCGATTCACAGAACTTGTTGGTAACTGTTCTTTTCTCGGTATAGATCCTGACTTCACAAAGTCAATCCAAGGCTTAAGATTTGTGTCTGAATGTTGAACTGTAGCACAATCAATCTCATGCTTCATTTGCATGTGCAAGGCAATAATCATAGTGTTGATAACATCAAGTTCAACTACTAATGTGTCCACATATGGTACCCCGGTGTTCCTATGGTTCCACAAATTGCCTTGATACTGTCCATAGAAAGATAGGCTTCCTGAGTTAATGGTAATATGGAAAGTGCATCATCATAGTTATTAATTTTTCCTGTTCCTGATATTTCTTCTTTCATTATTTTTGCTTTGGCGCTGGCATACGATACATTCAAGCGTCGTGCTATCTGACTGTAGTTCCTAAAAAATCTACGGCAGTAGGCAGCACATCCTATAAACCTTCGAACTTCCTCTGGTGTAGTTGGGTATGCTTGTAAAAACCTGTCAAGACATTTATCAACTTGGAAAAAAACCAAATTTATTTCATTTTTATTTTTCTTATATGGTTTTTTGCCAACATTAAATAAAAGTTCTTTTTAGTTAATGTACTGAAAATGAACATTCTGAGTCCTTTCAAATTTCCTTACACTGAAAACAGGATAACTTTCCAAATTTCACATCTATATTGCTCTTTATTTGCTAAACATCCAGTCTCAAATATATATTTCATATACATTAACGGTGAGAAATCGTATGTGTACATACTGTACAGTGGATCGACCGGGGTGAAGGGTAGAATTTTACGTCTCCCTGGTGATGATGAGGTAATTATGGATAGTGGCAGAAATTTGCTTTAAACTAGACCGCCAAAAAATCCCCCATAGAGAGAGAGGATTGATTCAGGGTTTTTTTAACGTGCACATAGCGTGACCTAGACGAGGTATCTTATTCAGAGTTCCTATTCCGAGACAACGTGGCTGAGTATTTATACACTCAGCACAACCAAACGGACGCTCTCTTCATAATGGTCGCAACTGTTGGATGGGGGAAATCCAGGAATGACCATATTTCAATACCTCAGTCAACACTTCGAGTCTTTATGTATGTAGAAATATTCCTTCTCCTTCCAATTCTTCAATTTCAATTTCATATAAAAACAGAACACAGTTAAAATAAACGGATGATTTAAACCTAATATTACTTGTTTTCTCGTTGAAGTCTATTAACATACACTTTTATTTATATGAATTTGAATTATTCAAAATAGCAAATGCCTCTATGAAATATTTTATGAACTACACACACGGTTGACTAATAGTTATAGGCTTTACACTGACATGTCTTTGAAACAATTTACATAAAGGAAACAACATAAATTTAGAGCAACACATGGTTGATTAATTGTTATTTGCTTAACGTCTACTGGCAAATATTTGATACATGTTCAGGACGAGAACAAATTAAACTAGCAGCTCTAAAGAGCCTGTGTCGCTCACCTTGGTCTATGTGCATATCAAACAAAGGACACTCTAAACATTGTAGACGAGAATAGACTTCATGACAAAAATCTATATTTTGTTGATCTTGTATTACTGATCTTTTATTCTGTTTAGTTTCTCTCTATCTTCTTTAGTTTTTGCTCAAAACACAAAAGAGGGTAAAAAAAAAATCCTCATTTAAGGGCAATCACTCTTATGAAGAATGACAGTCTGCTAACTATATCGGCAAAATTTGACTTTTTAATAGATCTTGCCTTGCTGATCATTTTTGTGATTTAAAGTGTTTATTTATCTTTTATAATATGATTCATATAAGGCATAACGAAAAAAAAAATGTTTCTCTCTAAATATCATAGTTTTTATGATAAAAGGCAAAAATGAAAAAAAAATGGTAAAATTTGTCATTTATGGGCAATAACTCCTATAAGAATTTGTCTAACAGTTTTGACGTATATGGACAATTGGTAGAGCTCATTAGTCTGAACATTTTTGCTCCTTTCAGATTTTCTCTATTTATAACGGTTCAAAAAATAATAGACAAAACTTGCATTTTATCCCTATGCTCTATTTTTAGCCATGTCGGTCATGTTGGATGGCAGGCGGGGTCATCGGACATATTATTTAAACTAAATACCCTAATGATGATTGTGGCGAAGTTTGGTTAAATTTGTCTCAGTAAATTCAGAGGAGAAGATTTTTGTAAAAGATTACAAAAATTTATAAAAAATTGTTAAAAAATGACTATTAAGGGCTCCTTAAGGGGTCAATTGACCATTTTGGTCATGTGGATTTATTTGTAGATCTTACTTTGCTGAACATTATTGCTGTTTACAGTTTATCTCTATCTATAATAATATTGAAGATAATAACCAAAACCTGCAAAATTTTCTTAAAATTACCAATTCATGGGCAGCAACCCAACAATGGGTTGTCTGATTTGTCTGAAAATTTTAGGGCAGATAGATCTTGACCTGATGAACAATTTTATCCAATGTCAGATTTGCTCTAAATGCTTTGGTTTCAGAGATATAAGCCAAAATCTACATTTTACCCGTATGTCTAATTTTTAGCCATGGCGGCCATCTTGGTTGGCGGGCCTGGTCATCGGACACATTTTTAAAACTAGATACCCCAATGATGATTGTGGCCAAGTTTGGTTAAATTTTATCCAGTAGTTTCAGAGAAGATTTTTGTAAAAGTTAACGACGACGGACGACGACGACGACGGACGACGGACGACGGACGCCAAGTGATGAGAAAAGCTCACTTGGCCTTTTAGTCCAGGTGAGCTAAAAATGCATCAAATGACTGAGTATGTACTACAAAGTTGGCTACAAAAAGAGGGAATATCGAGTAGGGGTTGATCGTTAGCCTTGTTACATACTCACAATTCAAATAGTAATTTGTTGAACAAAGGTTTCTTTAAAGTGTAGATAACGTAGAACTCTCTCAACACGGATATCTGATTTAACGTATAAGTTCCAACTAGTCGGGTTGCGTGCTTGGTGCATCATTCACAACTGCATACGCTCCTTGCGGTGATCGAATCTTTCAGTCGGATGAACTCGGTCAATTTCTTTAAACCGGGAATCTTTCGGAGGACTATAGCAATTCACACATCAACTTGAGATACATCATATCATGCTGCAATAGTGTTTAACAATTAAATTTAGATATATTACTTGTCAATAGATTAGTTGATCTTATTAGATGACCGAATTGTTGTTGTTGCAATTTGCCCTAGATCCTTTGTTTTTGGATCAAATAAGGTAGCTGGAACGTTTGCAAAGGTTGTAAACACAATAGCTCTTTTGTAGCCTTTTACCAGCGCTGTTTCTAAAGCAGTGATTTCAACAGTGATAAGTGCTTATCATGTCTCATATTTTGTGGTAATTAATCAGTAGGTATAGGAAACACTATTCCAATTGAAGGCAAAGACGACAAGTAATTATGCTTCATAATAAGGTTTCCTTTGCACTTCCTCAATTTTCATATTCTAACCTGAATTTAATGTAGCAGTTGCTTTTGAACCAGGATGTTACGTCATCTGCTTTATAATGGATGCACTTTATGTTGTTTGTGTATAATCACAGAAGGATATAACTAGTTTGACACAAG